CACCTCCTCATAGAGCAGTGGTTCTCAACCTGTGGGTCTCGACCCTTTGGCGGTCGAACGACCCTTTCACAGGGGTCGCCTAAGACCATCCTGCATCTCAGATATTTACATGACGATTCATAACAGTAGCAACATTACAGTTATGAAGTAGCAACGAAAATAATGTTATGGTTGGGTCACAACATGAGGAGCTGTATTTAAAGGGCCAGAAGGTGGAGAACCACTGTAGAGCATCTTCATCTTATTTTACAATCAGATTGTAAAATTCTTCCTCCAAAGACAGTGAAGACGGGCACTGAGAAGCGGACAACACTGGCCTATTACATGATGCTTCGGCTTCACCAGGCGGGAGGCCATGCAGACATCCTCTTGTGCAGAATGTCTGAGACTATCTTTCCTGGCTGTAACTAACAGGTGAAACTTCGATAACTTTCTTCTACGTAACTCATTATGTGTCCCAAATGCCCTAATAAGTTTTGGTAAGAAATGGGCTTTAAGGGGTGTCTACATAAAATTACCAATATGTTTCGATACATTCTCTTAACACAAATATAATCTTATGGTAAAGTGTACAATTTAATTTTGAAAATAAATCTATACAAGAAACACAACTTTCTAAAAACAAATCTTTTCTTTCTGCGGTTTCATCTATGGCTAGGTGTTTCCATGTGCACAGTCAAGAGCTAAATACAGCCACCCCAACACAGACACACACTCGCCAAAAGCAAACAAAACATGTGTCCACTATTTTAAGTAAATTAAATAAGATAGGTCTGTTTCTTTACCTGAAATGGACTCTAAGGCAGATCCCTCCAGAGGTAAATTTTGTGTAAGACTGACTCGCAGTGAACACCACCCAAAGTTAACTTTTAATACATTCATCTCCCCCGCTTCCTCGCCCCCCCCCCCGAACCCCCAGTAAAGCAGCTTCAGGATTAAGTGACTTGGGGTTTACAGACAGCAAGAGCAGCTTCGGCTGAGGCAGAGCTACCGCCACGAATGCTGCTCCTCGCTACAAGCAATGGTGCTAGTGGCCCAGCTTTCCTCTTAGACACGACAGGAAGGACATCACCTGAAGTTCATTATTAGACAACCTTGTCCTCCACCACTTAGGTGAGAAAACTAGAGATCGGCTCCGCCCACTTCACAAAACATCAAACTTTCAGCCTGTGTAAGGAGATGCCCTGTGAACCCCCCGACATGATACCCTACAGGCCCTAAGAAGTTTTGGTAAGAATGGGCTTGAAGGGACGTCTGCCTCAAAGTACCAATATGTTCAAATACATTTTCTTAAGACAAATATAATCAACACTAGGGGCCCAGTGCACGAAATTCGTGCATGGGGGGTGGGTTCCTCAGCCGACCTGCACCCTCTCCAATCTGGTAGCCCTCAGGGGATGTCCTACTGACGGCTTAGGCCTGGTCCCCGTGGTTCTCTGTTCTCTGCGACCTGCCTGCTTGATGCCACTGCAGGCCCTGGTGTCTGTTCTCTGTGGGGGGCCTGCGGGGAACTGCTTGCCCCTCGCTGCCAGGCCAGGGATAAGCAGGGCCCTATTGTCTGCTTGCTCGCTGCGGGGGAGGTTCCCGCCCCGCCCCCGGCCGCTTGCGTGCGTGCCAGCTCAGAGCACCTGGGTCCCGGGGATGTTTCCGCCCCGCCCCGCCCCCAGCTGCTCAGCGCCTGCGCGTGCAGGCCCAGAGTGGCCAGGGGTCATTCCGGGACCCCGGCTGCTCAGGGCCTATGTGCAGGCCTACAGGCTCAGAGCAGCCTGGTCCTGAGGACGCCCATCCCTGGGACCCAGGCCACTTGGTGCCCATGTGCACGTAAGCGGCCACCCCGCCCCCGGCTGCTCAGCGCCTGTGTATGCAGATTAACCCGCCATCTTTGTTGGGTTAATTGGCATACTCACTCCTGATTGGCTGGTGGGTGTTGCGAAGGTACGGTCAATTGCATCTTTCTCTTTTTTTAGTGCAGATGGACATCCCAGCACCAGTTGCAAATGCCCGCTATGCACAACAATACTTACAAAACCCACGGATTTTTAAAAAACAACAGGATCGCGCTGCTTTCCTCTACCAGCTCCCTGCCAATGCCCAGAACCCTCCCTGCCACCCCGATTAACCTTGAACTGAAGATGAGAGTTACGCACAGCGGGCTGGGAGGAGGAGGGCGTGAGGATGCCCATGAGCCCTGAGGTGAGGGAGAGCCGCCTGCCCTCGCTGGGCTCCAGGCGGACTCGGTCCGGGATGCCTTGGGGGCGCCGGCGGGGCCTTGCCGAGCAGCGGTGGGCTTGAGGCCGTACAGTTCCTCCACGCGGAGGCGCTGGGGT